CCAAGAGTGTTGTATGATATCGGAGCCATCGAGATGCAGAAAGATGTGAAGATTTCTGCTCCTGTAGTATCAAAGCAACAGAATGTGGAACAAACAAGAAAAGCTGGCAGAATCCAACAAAGTCACGTGATGCCAATACTGCTGTTTCACACGCAGCTATGGCTCTTAAACAAGCAGGGAGACCTCTCGCCACAGGATCAAGAAGTTTTGAAAAATAACCAACAGGTTTCAGTAGATCTCCATGTTTTTGCAAAAGTACTGATGTCATGCATCCACATCTCTCGTCCACAAACTGAACAAAAGGTTTATTTGGGTCTGGGATTCCCAAAGTTGGAGCCGATTGCAAAGCAATTTTCAAGTCTGTAAAGGCCTGCTCTGCCTCTGGAGTCCACACGAGGGGAGTGGACGCACACATGTTCCTCCCCACAGTCATATCACGTAAAGGCTTGTCTTTCTCAGAGAAATTGGCGATAAAATGCCTGCAATATGAGCACATTCCCAAAAATGAAAGAAGTTCCTTTTTGTTTGAGGGCTTCGGAGCATCAACTATTGCCGTCACACGCTTATGTGACAAGGTTTTACCCTCAGGGGTTATAATGTGACCCAAAAACACAACATTTTGTTTGACAAATTGCAACTTTGAAACAGAAGCTTTGTGGCCCTCCTCAGCCAAGTGTTGGAGAAGCTTAATTGTGTCCTCTTCACATTGTTCTTTTGTGGGGCTAGCAATCATCAAATCATCCACATAATTAATCAAAACAGTCCCGTCTGTCAACACAAGAGACGCTAGACTGTGGTTGAGAGCCTCACAAAACAATGAGGGGCTTGAGTTTAGGCCCTGACAAAGTCGTGTGAAAGTGTACCTTTTCCCATTAAAACAGAAGGCAAACCAAAATTGTGAATCCCTGTCCACAGGCACAGAAAAAAAAGCATTTGATAAGTCCACCACAGAAAACCACTCTGCATCTGCTGGTATCTGACTCAAAAGAGTGTGCGGATTAGGGACATTAGGAACAGGAGAGATGATCGCAGCGTTCACCGCCTTCAAGTCTTGCACAAAACGCCACTCTGTAGGTTTATCTGCTGGTCTAATTTTCTTTACTGGAAAGATAGGTGTCTGCACTGGGGAGTCCTCACATGGGACAATAATGCCAGCCTCAAGAAATGATTCAAAAACAGGTGTAATTCCTTCTATGGCCTCCTGTCTCAAAGGATATTGACGCTGCCTCGGTCTATAATCAGATTTAGCTTCAATACGAACAGGTGGACAGTTTTTGATCAAACCAACATCATGTTTACTTTTTGCCCACAGACTGTCCGGTACTTGTGATAACAAAGATGAAATCTCAAGCGGAGAAGTCAAAGAAGTCAGAGTCAAATTTGGTCCGTCATTGTTATCATATAAAGACGTCAAAAGCACTGAATTTAGCACATCAACTGTCTTCGTATGAGACATTTTATACGCGCAAACGGATTGTGAATAAAACACATTTTCTCCACGGTCACACGCCTCCCAGTCCTCTGCCAAAGTGCATCTGCGCACAAAAAGGCCTAGGGTTTGCCATGTGTCAGTCTTTGCTTTTGCTATTGAAATATGAGGACTTGAATTTTCAAGACGATAGCATTGTTTTTGTGACTGGCTTAACTCTACTGAAACAGCACACTTGAAATCATCAAAGTACACGTCAGCAATAATCAAGCAGTCATTTGAGCCCAGTTTAAACGTTTCTTCAAATTCACAATCAGGGCTATGGTGTAAATGACACACACAATGCAGGTCCTCAGCTTTCAATATATCAGATTTTGGATTAAGAAATGGAGAAACCACCCCCATTAAATGACTCGCGCTGGCAGTATGAAACCACCACTGATATACAGACATAGGACAGTTTGTGTTTACTTTGACAAAATTAGTCGCGCACGCACCTCTGTCTATTTTAAGGCCTTCTGCTGTCGATGTGATCACAACTTCCCATTTTATCATTAAATCACGGCCTAACAAGTTTACAGGACAAAGGTCAGACATCAAAAATGAATGTTTTGCTGTTGCTGGGTTACGCTCGTTTGCCCAAGTGCATTTGATCGGAACAGAGAAAGATTCCGGTACCGTTTGTCCACTGGCACTCGTGGAAAAGACACTTCTACCACTTAATTTGATTGAGAGCTCCTTTGTCTGAATCACACTGTGGGTTGCACCAGAGTCTACTAAAAAAGTGATCGGTTTACCCTCAATTTCACCAAACAATAGTTGGCATTTTCCTGTAAGCTTCATTTTCATAAGCCAAGTAGGTCCCTGTGTTGGGCCTGTCACCGTCCTCTAACTCCCTAATTCTATCCTCAATTAAGCCAAGCAGTGAATCAGTGGCAAGCGCGTCTTCATTGCCGTTAGCAGTTAGTGTGTTGTGTGTAAGAGTGTGTGCATTACTCATCTGTACAGTTGCTGTGTCAGATCCCACGTCAACCAGACATCAATCTGAAGAAAATCTCTGCTGGTCCTCCGGTCTCGCACCCCGTCCACGTCCACTCCAGCGTCTCGCATCTCGGCGTGGCTGGGGACAGTCACGATTCCAATGTCCAATTTCACCACAGTTGAAACATTTGTCCTGGTCGTCATGGTCACGATCGTTCTCGAAATGTCCGTTGCCACCTCTTCTCCGTCCTCTACCTCCACGACCTCCACGACGGAATTGTCTCCCCGTCATTTTGATCAACGTGAGGTTGGCCTGATGCTGGGCCGTCTCCTGCGCGCCAGCTTTCACAGCGTTCTCCTCAGTGTTCTTTATTTCAGCATGCTTTGCGTGTCTGAGGATTTCTGGTCATAGGTGCTTGTAAAGTCTTTCCATCTCTCAGCGTCATGCCATTGTCATTTAGAGTGATTTTTGCCCAGACCATTTGTCACACTTTGAATTTCAGCAGGAGCAGTGTGTCTGTGTGCTGCTCCAGACAGGAGGGGAGGGGCTGATGCAGAAGCCTCCGGAGCGGGTGAAAAGAGGGGGGCCGTCGCTGCTGCTGCTGCTGCTGCTGGTGGTGCCGCTGGTGCCGCTGGTCCGGCTTCTTGTTGATACCGGGGCGGGGGGGGTGAGAGAGCGGGGTACAGCGGGTTCCAATCATCTCTGGAGTTCCTACGGTCGTATTGACGTGGGATCGGTGGTATGCTCGAAAAAAAAGCAGATGGAGAAGAGTCAGTCGCAGATCCTACACATTCTATAGAGTCAGACTTTTTCTGTTTGCTGTCCCTAAGCTTTGCCTCTGCCATCCACACATTCAACCACCGTTTGTTCTCATCCAGACAATTCAAATCTTTCACACGCACAGTTTTGCCTTTCTTCAACACAGTTTCTCTTTCATCCAATTGGGATTTGATTTTGTCCAACTGGTTTAGGCTGAAAGACCCATTTTTGGGAAAACCTAATTAAGCCACCCACATTTCAACGCATGTCCTAAAATCATCACCATGTTTCTTACTCATAAAAGTCATGCATGGAGAGCTCCAAACTGGTGACTCTGTGCCTTTTCTTCTAAGCCACATGGCTGGAATCTGAGACTTGAACTCAGATATAAAAACAGAGACTCGAACTCTGCCCTTATCAGCAATCAGGACTTGAACCTTTGCACAAAACAGGACTCGAACCTGTACTACAACGAAAGGGACTTGAACCCCCCGACTAAGACTAAACTTAGATTTTTTGACAGGACTCTAACCGTGTCACAACAAGGGACTTGAACCCCCGACTAAGACTTGAACTTAGATTTTTAGACAGGACTCTAACCGTGTCACAACTGAAGACTCGAACTTCAGCCTAAGACTCTAACTTAGGATTTATTTCTAACAGCCTGGATTAGAATGATCAGCACCGTCACCAGCTGGCAGCCAAACATGCACTGCACCCACAAGTGCCTCTCGGATTCACCACTGAAGCATAGAAAGTCAAATATTAAACAAGTTACCGTTTGTTTTCGTGTGAAAATTCCGAGAGGCGACGGTTGAAACTCAGCACGTCCGGTCAGTCCGCCCGTCCAGAGATATGGGAAAGCGACGAGATTGGTTTTGAATCCCGGGCGATCAGTCCCCCGAGCCGGACCCGTGTGTTCCAACGGTCAGCCTTCGAGACCACTTCTGACACCAAATTGTTATGGGAATTCTGATGCTTCAAATGAAATAATTCCGAGAGGAAACAAACTTGTCCTTTTGTGCAGTTTATTTACAGAAGTGATGAGTACAAAAATGACATTTCTGCGCAGAAAGGAGCCAGACAGAAACGGGACCTGGACCGATGCCGTGTCTGTCTGTTTCCCCAACAAGCGTGTCTATGATCTTATACTGGAGGTGTGTCAGACAGAACAATGAGCATTCGTCACAAGAGAGATGAGTCATACGCGGCTGCAGACGGGAAAGTTTGGGAGATACATTAAGCGCACCGAAAGGACCTTCGAATTTGATAAGAAGGAGCACGCTGTGAGTACATTTGAGATAATGCACCTGCAGATGGTGACCAAGGCTATCGCTGAACAAGAGGCCCTTTGTGCTAATGTTTCAAACAGTGATGGGAAGCAGTTTCAGACGCTGGGAAACAAGACGCATGTATCGACCTAAATGATTAGAATATCTTGTGCCGGGAGCTGACCATAACATGTGTTTGCCATATTGCCCAGCCCTAATATATATAATAAAAAAAAGTATATTATACATTTTTTTCATCTATTGTTCAGGTTTTCTAAAGCGAAGGCTTGTTCTCATTAGCCCTGAATCCCAGAGTCACACTTATGGCTCAGCAGTTTAGTGGTTGACAGATACAAGTCCTGCCTCCTGCACATACACATACCACGTGGGCGAATCTCAGCTAGCCCCAAATGGATTACAAGGAAAAATAAGATATTCTTGCTTTTATGTGACTTTATTCTGATATTACATCTGGAGGCATTAGAAATGTATACATTTGGTTGATGTAATTGTTGACCAGCCTCCACTGGTCCTCAACCCTATGCTTTGAATCATGCAGATGAAGATCCCGTCCAAAAAGATGGCCCACATCCCAGTGTACGCTGTAGGCTTTCATGCTGCACCCAAAGACCAAGGACACAAGAGCCAAGTGCTCAAGTAAGTCACAGAAGAGGACAAACGTTTGTCTTTCTCTTCACAGAGATGTGTATAAGAACCAACTTCGCATTTCCAAATGTATATGTATGTAATGTATTTATATATGTGTGACTAAAAGACATGCGTAACATAAATGCAGATAACACCAACTATCTATCTTATGACCAGACAGTTTTTGGACTTCTCCAAGAATCATCTGTAGTAGTGTGGACAGTTTATCAGGCCACCAACTGGGGGCGCCAGACGCTAGACTATAAAACCCTCCGAATTGTTGATGTTTGTCCCGCTTGCCGTCTGTACTTCCGGGTGCTGGTCGCTCGGCTTATGTGTGTGCTTGGGTGTCGGTACTCACTCAATCCCTTTATCTGTGTCCTTGATGATTTTAGTTTGTTTGAATCATTATTTTAATTTAAACATTAATCTAAACTAGTGCTGGGATAAACGATTATTTTTTAAACGATTAATCTAGCGATTATTTTTTCGATGCATCGATTAATCTAACGATTATTTTTTTCGCTTCGATTCGATTTTGATTCGATTCGATTCTCGATTATCTCCCCATTAATTGACTAATATTGATGTATACATGTTGATTTAAATATTTTAATGAAAAAAACATGAATTCCTTCACAAAAAATATTTATTGCTTGCTCTTAAAATTCAAAAATAAGACATTCTTAGAGGTAGCATAAAACCTTAAAGCCTTGAAAACACAGCTTACTGAAAAAAGTGCATCTTATCATTCTTGAAACAAACATTTGATGCTTAGCATTCAATAAAAATATGAAAAAGTTCAGCCAAATACTTGTGTAGAGCAACTAAAAGAAAACAGTAACCAATGTAAACTTGAAGGCTTTAAGCTAAACAAAGAGTGCTTTTCCAGCAAAAACAGTGGGAGCCATCAGCCTGTCATGGCGTCCTTCCTGAACCAACAGAGTTTAACATTTAAGTTGAAGACACATAGGCCTATATTACTGAAGTCCATTAATTAAAGTGCATCTCTTAAATTCTTCATTCATATAAAAATAACAGTCAAAACTCTGCCACTCACCTTTTTCTTAAACTTAAAATTCAAAAATAAAATTCAAGTAAGAGTGTACAAGAGAAAAACAATGCATTGTGTAGCAAATAAAAAGGTCAACCAGTCATCCTTTCTTTTAGAGTTACTGAAAGAATACAGTAGAAGTCATCTCAGAGGACTTAAAACAACATTGAAGTCACCAACACAGATCAGAGAATCAATCAACAGTTAAACACATTAAGGATATTGAACACATGTTGAAAAATGTCCATATACGGCGGGCATGACAGTGAATAATACATGTAGGGGCTATTACGGGCGCCAATATTCCGTTTGATACAAAGAAAGACAGACTAGTTGTAAGCTGTAGAGTTGCCACAGGACGCGTCATCAGCCTACGTGATGAAAACATTAGCTTTGTGGTTTCACAGGCGCAGTTGACTGCTTAAACTAAACTTTGCACAAAACTTTGACTCTTAACACCCACATGTGACAAAACGGAACCATCAACATCTCGCCTCAAATTGCATTAAAAGTGACATTCGTGTCTGAATTCGTTCGTATTTTAACTTTTAAAGAAATTCACGGTCCGCCATCTTTGTTTGCTTCGGCTGCCGTGAGACGCGCATGCGCAAGTTTGCATTACATGATAAACAGCTGAGGCTGTGCATCTCTTCAAGGCAGTGTATCTCAGCGTTACACCGGCTTGCACTTCTCTAACACGGCACTCGCATTGCTACCGCTCGCCGCCATCTTTGTTTTGTGTGTGACGCACCGACGCCAAGCCCCGGCGATCCAAGATGGCGCCCTATTCAAATGAATGGTTGTGCTCAGTGGCGCTTTGTGACGGCATGGGGGCTGAAAGATTAGCGGAAGTTGCCTGAAACCCGCAAAGATCTATGGGAAACTCGCCTGTATTTGGGCATCGTCTGGTCCTCCCGGTTCTGCGCAGTGGATGATCTCCCATAATGCGTTGCGCCAAACACGCGTGTGTGGGTCTCACACCGGGTCTCACGCATGTGCACAGAGGGGCTCGGCCGCGCTCTGACCAATCAGAGCAGTTCATCAGAGCGAGAGTTAGAGCGAGAGCAGAGAGCAGAGTTTGTGGCACTAAAGTGTGGATTTAAACAAAACCGAAGGATTTAAGAAGAAAAAAAGTTCAGGATGACAAGGGACACTAAAATCCCCACAAAATCCAATCTTTATTAAAGCTGTAGGTTCTCTGTCAGCTGAGGTCGAGCTGTTTTAATATGCATTGAGTTCTATGGGGAAAATTTCTGGGTAGCCCACGTGAATTTAGTCTGGTTCAGTCTGCAGTACCGCGAGAATCCCCTGAGCACATGAGTTATTCAGCAACAAGCTAGTAATACCCTATCCAGTTAATATAATACATCCATGACCGAATTTGTATTTTTTGCGTCAACGTCACCGATTACGTCGACGCGTTGTCCCAGCCCTAATCTGAACCCTCAGTTTGTCACAGATTCAGATTCATTTTATTGGCCATGTGCAGTAAAACTACATTGGAAATACATGCAAAAAGAGGTACTCTGTGTGCACCGACAGAATAAAAAGCACGATACAATGTAATATAAATACACATACACTGAATATAAAATAATAAATAATAAAAAAACAGCTGACACTGTGGCACCGATCGACAAAACAATACAAGGGGTAAAAGCAGTTTAAAAGCAGGTAAAAGCAGGAATTAAAATGCTCTGTTTAGGCACCTAACAGCCTGTGGAAAGAAGCTGTTAGCATAGCGAGATGTCTTGCATCTCAGTGACCGGTATCTTCTGCCAGAGGGAAGAAGCTGGAACATGGCTTTCCCAGGGTGGCCAGAAGAGTCACCGATGATTTTAAGAGCTTTGTTTAAAAGTCTGGATTTGTAAAGAACCTCCAGAACAGGAAGCTCACAGCCCACGGTCCTCTTTGCAGAGCGGAGCACCTTGTTTAAAGCTCTCTTTTCTTTATCTGTGATGTTTCCAAACCACACAGACACAGAACCAACAAGTAAACTTTCAATGGTGCAGCGATAAAAGTTCAGCAGAATCTTAGAGTTAGTGGTAAATTCTCTAACAATTGGCGTTGTTGGCTTGGATGGATTGATCCAGAGAAAGCCTTGGTGATCCAAGATGGCGCCCTATTCAAATGAATGGCTTGTGCTCAGTAGCGCATGGGACTTCACAGGGGGCTGACATATCAGAGGAATTCTGCTATATTTGGGCATCGTCTGGTCCTCCCGGTTCTGCACAGTGGATTATCTCCCATGTGTGGCTCTCATGCACGCGCACAGAGGGGCTCGGCCGCGCTTTGACCAATCAGAGCTGCTGATCAGAGCAGCGGAAGAGCGGGAAGGAAACAAGCAGAGTTTGTGACAGTAAAGTGTGGATTTAAAGAAAACCGAAGGATTTAAGAAGAAAAAAAGTTCAGGATGACAAGGGACACTAAAATCCCCACAAAATCCAATCTTTATGAAAGCTGTAGGTTCTCTGTCAGCTGAGGTCGAGCTGTTTAAGTTTACATTGAGATCTAAGAGACCTTTTTTTCTTTTTTTTTGCTTTGAAGACAGCGGTGGTTGGGTCTTATGCAAAAGTACAGCCGGCAATGGCATCATGTTGTCTGCTGTCCTGCTGATTTCCAGTAGTGTTCAGACCATTCCAGACAGCAGCCTGAGGTTGAAGAGAAGAAGACTTTTCACTGAGGCAAGCTGGAGTTTAGGATCAGACACACATGCGGTAAATTTGTTCAATTAATGATGGCTCTCAGGCCACCCCAATACGGGATGAGAGTAACTGGTGTTAGATGTCGAGTATTTGTGGCTCAAGTGCACTGCAAAGTGACTTGTTCTAAGGTCCAGTGGTGTGCCATAAGGTCGGGACTTGGTGCTCTCTAGTGGGTGGCTCAAACCCCCAAGCAGCAGTAAAGTGGGTTATGGCAGCTGTGATTACTAAAGGTGTCTGTCAAAGCATCAATGCTGTTATCGTTAGTGGATAGAGGGAGCCATTTATCACTGAGGCACACCTAGTTGAGGTTTTAATCTGTGTATACATATATATATATTAGGGCTGGGCAATAAAACGATAACAATATTGCGATAGACACGTGTTCGATATCAATAGAAAACGGGGTCGATAGAACTTCGATAGTTTCACTTCTGTCCGTTCGAAAAAAAACAGGAACAAAACACAGGAAGTAAAGCGGAGTCAGAAACGCACAGGATTCTGGGGGATGTAGGCAAAGGCTTCTCGACCTATCACAGCCGACTACAAACCGCAAAACTTTCTGGGAAAAAGCAAAAAAACAACCGCACCATGCGTAGCGTCCATGGATCATGGATCTATTATAATAGCCATGGATCTAAAGATGGTGTTTCAGTGCCGTGTCAATAGTCCGTGCGAGGAACAGCATGTGCGGCGGCAGAGGCAGTGGGTACAGAGACTTGATGCATTCGGCAAAAGCAAGAGATTAACTTTTTCCGGAGCCGCCACAAAACAATCAATATATATTGTTATCGACCAATATGAATTACTTATATTGTGATATAGTTTTTAGCCATATTGCCCAGCCCTAATATATGTACAGTATATGTGTATATACTCAATATATATATATATATAATAATCTCACAGTGGCGACAGTAGCTCAGTTGGTAGAGCATTGGCCTGAAGGTCGTGTGTTCAATTCCCACCTCTGCACCTTCTCCACCGACTCCCACTGATGACTGCTGTCGTTGTGTCCTTGGGCAAGACACTTAACCCCACTTTGCCCAAAGCCCCCACTGAAAGATCAAGGCTATGCTCACACTCAGAGAGCAGCCGTCCTCCTGTGGACTCACCACCTGCAGAGGGTCAGTGAGGGGCTGGTGCTATGAGACTTGGGTGGCATCTCTGACTGCCACCCCCCTGACCCATAAATGGATTAAAGGGTAGAAAATGGATGGATGGATGGATCTCACAGTGATCTGACTTTGCTG